CAGCAGATCGGCCAAGGAATGGAGAGGAAGAAAGGAGATGCAAAATAACTAAAATATCCTCACTATTTTAAGTATTAAAATTTTCCGGTCATATTTGGCCGGTAATTTGGCCGGCGTGATCAAAATTGATAAAAATTGTATAGTCAATGTACTAAATTAACATTTTTAATAGTAAGTGTTGCAATTAACACAAACGCAATAGTCAGTGGACCAAAATTAAAATTTTCTCTAATAATAATAATAATAATAATAATAATAATAATAATCCAAACAAAACTATATACATACTAAAATTAAAATTAACACACACACACACACACACACAAAATAAAGGGGAGCCACATGCTCCCTTTGTAAATAATGTGGGTTTATTTTCATCCCACATTGAAAATGTTTGAAAAGATGAACTCTTGAGCTTCTGTATATAAGAGGTACAAACATAATTGTTTGCCCATCGATGTGGCGAGTATTGAGAAGTCAAAAGGTTCTTATTTTAGTTTTATTTATTTATTATTTATTAGTGTGGGTTAGGAAAGATTAACCCAAAATGTATGTGTTGTTTTAGTTGTTAGCAGTTTGGAGCAAATTACTTAGTTATTAAATAATATTTTTGGTGTTTTGATTAAAGATAAATTGTTAAAATGACGAATTTGTCAATAATAATGATAATAATAATAATAATCAAAACAAAACGATATGCAAAATAAAATTAAAATTAAAAAAAAAAAAAAAAAAAAAAAAAAGGAGTCACGGGCTCCCTCTGTAAATATGGGATCATTTAGATCTCACATTGAAAATGTTTGAAAAGAAGAGCTCTTGAGCTCCTCTATATAAGAGGAGCAATTGCTCCTCTTACAAACATAATTGCTTGCCCATCAATCTGGAGGGTGTGGTTGAGTGTAAGGGACTCATCCATCCTTAACTAAAGGTCAAGGGTTCGATCATTGGATTTGGGAATGGAGTAGCCTTAAATCTCTAAGCCAGCTATCCCACCCAAAAGATGTGTTTACAATTCAGCGAGGGGATTAGTCACTGTGTCCGACGGTGAAAACTCTGGGTTTACAAAAAAAAAAAAAAAAAAATCAATGTGGGCAAGTATTAAGAAGTCCAAAGTCTTTTTTTTTTTTTTTTTTTTTTTTTTTTTTTTTTTTTTTGGTTAGAAGTAAAGGAAAATTAGAAATGGAAAGGAAATATTTCAAAAATAATATTTTACATCATCAAGTAGTAAAGACATATTTTAAAAAAGAGTAAATACTCAAAATGGTCCCTCGACTATAGCTAAATTCACAAATTGGTCTTTGACTTTCAATTTCAACCAATTAAGTCCTTAACTTTGCAATTTTAACACAATTTGGTCCTCTGTCTATTTGACCATTTGTTGACTGTGACTTTTGAGGATATATATGTAATTTCATGGTCCATCGTCGGGTTTTTAAGGTTTCGGTTGCATTTCCAGACCGCATTATTACATTTGAATCCACTGCCGAAAGCAATCTACCAAATCCGGTCGCCTTTTTTCATCCTCCCTTTGGATTCAATGTAGTTGAGTTCGTACCAGAGCAAAGAAGACGACGTGTTTCCGAACCGGTGCAACGTCATCCTGGAGTCCTCCACGTGCTCCGACGAGAGCTGAAGGTTCTTCTGGAGATCGTCGATCACGGTCAACAAATGGTCAAATAGATGGAGGACCAAATCGTGTCAAAATTGCAAAGTTAAGGACTTAATTGGTTGAAATTGAAAGTCGAGGATCAATTTGTGAATTTAGCTATAGTCGAAGGACCATTTTAGGTATTTACTCTTTAAAAAATAGTAAAGATAAATTAAAAATGAAACGAAAATATTTCATTAATAATATTCTACATTATCAAATTAAAATGGAACGAAAATTATGTAAAAATATCACTGCATCTATATTCTAATTGACTAATTGATTGGAAATAAAAAAGAATAATTGACTGAAAATGAATCTAATATTACCAATTGACTGAAAAATAAAAGTAAATGAATATTAATAATTGACTGCAAATAAAAAATGATCTATAATTGACTACAAAAATGGTCAGATCATTGCATTTTAATTAAAAATGGAATGAAAAATAAAAATTGGAGGAAAATTTTCTAATAATAATATTCTACATTATCAATAGCAAATGCATATTTTAAACAATAGTAAAGGTAAATTAAAAATGGAACGGAAATATTTCAATAATAATATCTACATCATCAATTAAAAATGTAACGAAAGTTAGGTAAAAATATCACTGCATTTGATATTCTAATTGACTAATTGACTGAAAATAAAAAAGAATAATTGGCTGAAAATGAATCTGATATTACGAATTGACTGAAAATATAAAAGGATAACTAATTGAGTGATATTCTACCATTATATATTTTCACCCAAGTAACCAGTCCTGATGGAGAAGATGTTAGCTCTAAACGAAGATGAACAAGATTGTGTTGTCACTACCAATGTCGTCTTCAAAGAGGTTTCAATAATGTGTAAATATAATTGGTGATATTAATTTTTTTAAATGAAAAAATTGTTATATATCTAGACAAAAAAAATATATCTTACTTCCATACAAATGAATAAGGATAGCAATTCATTTCTATAACTGATTTGTTAGAGAACAAGCACATTTGCCTAATTTATGAAAATACTAAACAATGATAAATAAAATCTTTAAAATTATAGGACCGCATGCGTACATCTAGACATTAGCTATTAATTTGAGCAATTATTTGCACAAATTCAAGCAATGATAACATCAAAATATATAAACAATTCAAATCATATCTTTAATTGCATTATATAATATTGGATGTTCTAATTTAAATAATTATATATCGATTCATATATTTTTAATATATTACAACAAATTCATTCCGTGCATCGCACGGGTGCAAATACTAGTATATATAAAAGTAAAATCCTCCTATGTAATTTTCCCGCTCAAACTTTTATAGTCAAATTAATGAAATATTTTATTGGTCAAATTAATAAAACTTATTTGGTAAGCAAATGTAAAATGGAAATGTTATAAAATCTATTAATTGGTAATATTATGTAATACCAATATATCATTGTGAAATCCAGTAAAGATAAATCTATATCTATCTATATCTATATCTATATATATATATATATATATATATATATATATATAACTCTTTCAATCTCATCCATCATTTTTAAATGAGTTAATGGTTGTGATGTGGCCTCATGATCTCATTTTTAATAGGGACCTCATGGGAACCAAAGCCTATATATATATATATATATATATATATATATATATATATATATATATATATATATATATATATATATATATAGGCTTTGGTTCCCATGAGGTCCCTATTAAAAATGAGATCATGAGGCCACATCACAACCATTAACTCATTTAAAAATGATGGATGAGATTGAAAGAGTTATATCAATTAATTAAGGATAGATTTTAAGCATAAGGAGAAAAGAGTAATTGTGTTAGTGTGGTTATTTTTGGTTAGAATAATAATGTAATAATTAGCATACTAATAGACTAAATATGAATGGTAATAATATAATCAATATATCTTTTTTATTAGAGAATTAGACTACCGCTGAATTGTATTTATTTTGGATGGAAAACATTTGCCTAATTTGATTGTTGGTGTATGCATGTATGTGTTTGGGCTTGTGCATTAACTTGTTTGGTTTTTTTTTTTTTTTTTTTTTTTTTTTTTTTTTTTTTTTTGTAACGTGAAGGGAAACATTTGTAAAGCCATAAAAAAATGGTAATTGGAAGTCTGTGCATGCTGTTGTTATGGTGTGTGTGTGTTTATTCATCCTACCAATGGTAATAATTAGATATACTTTGTATTATGATATTTTAACGTTCAAATAATGAACGGTATTTTACACTCCTACAGAGCTTGCAAACGACGCATAAGAACACAGGTATGTATATTTGTAAATTTTCCTACGTTAATGTTGCGTTAGTGTGTGCATTTGTATAGTAGGGTGTGTGCGAATTTCTGGTAATGGAACTTTGCACCACCTTTTTTTTAGGTAAATACTACGTAAGTCTGTGCATTGTTGTGTAACGGCATGTGCAAATTCGCAAACGGTAGATTTTTTTAGAGTAGGGTGTGTGCATTTATGGTGTATGGCGTGTGTTTTTTTTTATTTAGGATCGATCGCACAAGCCACAATGTCGTGTGCATTTAGGGTCGATCGCACAAGCCACAATGTCAATGCACAAACCCAATAAATCCAATGCACAAATCTCACCCCCCAGAACTATTTTAAAAACACCTCAAAACTATTAAAATGACAACCATTTCCCACACAGAAATGCACACACCATACCCTCCCTCATCACAAACCCACCTCCACACCCACTAACAGGTCCAATAACAGAACGAATACCAAAGTTAGAAATTACCGTAAGAAACTAATACGGAGTAGTCAATATTAAGAGTGTTGAGATTAGATCCAATGGTTGATATCTCATCTTGAGTAGAAGCAATCCTTGCCTATAACCAATAAAACCGTAGCCATAATACCTTGAAGACTTTGCGGGGGGAAAAACATATGATACTATTCTAAATTTCATTTTCCTCACAAACACCAAATTCTGGCGACAAATTAAATATCAAATAATGAGAACCGAATCACTGAAAAGACCTCCAGGGTTTGGAACGAAGCCTCGTTCATGGCCATCTCGACTTCATATCTTTTAAGCTCTTGCTCTATTGATTCCTTGATCTGCATAGCTTCTTCGATGTTCGCAGTCGCAGCCTCGATCTCGGATCGAAGCTCTCCAATTCGGTTCTTCAGATTCGAGATTCTCCACTTTGTGAGTTTAGAAGCATTCGTATACACAACTCAGTCGTCCAATCCTAAAAAAATTTCACTCACATTTACTTTCTCGAACAGATTTTAGAGAAAAATTCAAACGTCAAGTGTATGAAAATTAGCGATATCACCTCCTTAAGATTTTTCAAAAGCAAAGTCACGAATCAGAGTTAGCAGTTGCTTCTGCGAATCGCTTCTCGCCATCTCCGTTTGAACTCCGAACTAAGTGCTCCATTTCATTTTGGTGAAGGGATAATCTGCGAGCCGCTGGAACGCAATGTTTGCGAGAAGAATGGCGTGCAGCGAGCCGCTGGAATGGGATGTTTGCAAGAAGAATTGGCCTCACAGCTGCAATACGATACAAAAGAATAAAATGAAAGGCAAAATGGTTGCCGTATAATTTGCTGCTAACCAAGAAAATTGCCTAGAATTCTTTGTTGAAGCCAATGAGATCTACTCGCAGCCGCACCAAAAGCTACTGCCCAAATTTTACTCCGTTAACCGCCGGAAACAATGAACCACCGCCTGTAATTTGAAGCACACCCCCACAAACCCAAAACCCCCACCGGGAACCCAGACCCCCGCCAAAAAACAAAAAAAAAAAAAAAAAAAAAAAAAAAAAAAGGCCACATAAGAATAAAATAAAAATAAAAAATAAAAAAGAAATACCCAGAACATCATCAGAAGAGCCAGTCATGGAGAATCCAAGAAGAAAACCGATAACAGGGAGGGGCGGCGGCAGAGAGCGACACTGGAAGCCTGGAATACAAGGAGTTCGTGCAGCTCCGATTATTGTTAAGAAGAATACACGCACAAGGAAATCTCCTAAAATAACTCATAATTCAAATTGGTAAATAATTAATGATAATGAGAAATTATTTTCAAAAAAAAAAAAAATGATAATGAGAAATTATTACAAAGCCCTCAAACATAATAAAAAAGCTTGATCTGGCCTCTAATCACAATCGCACAAAACCAAAAACCAACGCCTAGGATCGACCATCACCAGACCTCATTTTAATTAGGTACCTCACCTGATCCAAAATCTATATATATATATATATATATATATATATATATATATATATATATATATATATATTAATTATTACCCTAATATCTAATTTATAATTTTGAATTTAAAATTTATATTATTATTATTAACATTAACATTTGATTAGTTTTATAAATTACGTGTAATTTATATATGCACTATGCATAAATTCTAAATTTCCTAGTATAATAATATTCTTCTTTCCATATATATATATATATATATATATATATATATATATATATATATATATATATATATATATATATATATATATATATTAATTGTATATAATATCTATTTATAAATGATAGATGATATTACATAAATGTCCCTAAGTTTTGGGATGAAAATTTGGGTAGGATGATTTTATTTTTAATTATATATATAGATAGATTGATTCTATTTCATTTTTTAAGCAAAATCTTCCTAAAGATTAATAGTAAAATAAAGCTAACTTATTATAACCGATTTTATTACATTTTTTTACGCAGAATTTTTCTTAAAGATTAATAGTAAAATAAGGTTAAATTATTAATAACCAATTCTATTCTTTTTTTATGCGAAATCTTTCCTAAAAGATTAATAGTAAATATCTTAATGATTCTTTTTCTTATACTGCTTATTGATTCTTTTCCATTTGTTAGAGTTTCGAAAAAATTCACATGGCTAACATTTCCTTCCACTCATTTCCATTTTTCCATATTATTATTAATTTCCTTCCCAATATTATTCTATATTGTTTTGGCGTACGGCTTCATTCCATTCATTTTCATTTTTTCATATTATTATTAATTATTAATTATTTAGGCAGTAACTTGTAAAGGAGGATATTGTTTTTATTAATTAATATAGAATATAGATTACCAATTAAAATTAAAGTTTTTATTATAATTGAACAATAATATTACCAATTATTATTTGGAGATTTTGTAAAATAATAAGTAAAATTGTATTACGGATATGAAAATATATGTACTTTAATATTAATTTAAATTGTTAATAATTAATTCTATTTTATTTTTTAACAAAATCTTCCTTAAAGATTAATAGTAAAATAAAGCTAAATTATTAATAACCGATTCTATTACAATTTTTTACGCAGAATTTTTCTTAAAGATTAATATGGTAAAATAAAGCTAAATTATTAATAACCGATTCTATTACATTTTTTTACGCAGAATTATTCTTAAAGATTAATTGTAAAATAAGGCTAAATTATTAATAACTAATTCTATTATATTTTTTAAGCAAAATCTTCCGTAAAAGATTAATAGTAAAATATCTTAATGATTCTTTTCCTTATACTGCTTATTGATTCTTTTCCATTTTTCAGAGTGTAGAAAACATTCACATGGCTAATATTCCTTCCATTATTTTTCATATTTCCATATTATTATTAATTTTCTTTCCAATATTATTATTAATTGTTTGGGCGTACCGCTTCCTTCCATTCTTTTTCATTTTTTCATATTATTATTAATTGTTTAGGCGGGAACTTGTAAAGGAAGATTTGTTTTTATTAATTAATATAGAATATAAATATAGATTAATATAGAATATAGATTACCAATTAAAATTATATTTTTTTAATATTATATTTGAACAATAATATTACCACTTATTATTATTATTATTATTATTATTATATTATTATTATTATTATTATTATTACTACTACTACTACTACTACTACTACTACGGAGTAATTATGACGATCCCATAATTACGCCAAAAAAGAAATACACGTTTGACCTATACCATGAGGAATTAAGCATGGACTTCATAACTGTCAAAACCGGCACCATGAGAATAAAACAACTTAACAAATCAGAACTTCAGAAATCCGATTATTTCAATAATCAACGCAAAGAACTAAGAAGAATATAATAATAGTCAATTGGTGTATTAAAGACGATTCCTGTTATATCTTGTCGTGTATATTACAATAGAAACTTAACTACTCCCCATTCTCCAATCACCCGTGAGTCACACATTTTATTGTGTGGCACTTTAAATTCTTGATCAATGACAGTATAGCAAAAAAATGAAGAGAGAGATTAGAGGAGTCAACACTCAACATCCCTTTAAATTAAACAGGCAAGAGTAGGCACCACTCAAAGCGAGATTCACATGAAGCTGCCTTTCATCAATGATAATGAAACTTCAATAAAAGCAAAAAATCAATATATGAAATGGACTTGGAGTAACCAGAAATATTCAGAATAAATCATAATCTAGGCATATGATATGAATAGCTTTTCGCTGAAAAAAATATTAAATTTAGACAATACAACCATGAAAAACGTATTGTATCCAATCCAATCAAACTACTTGGATGCTAAACCTACCGTTAATTTCGAAACGCGGCTAAACTGGATGATCAAAGTTGAAGACCTAGTGGGAAAAAAGTGATGCAATATAAAATGAAGACTTATAATTTTTGTAGTCATCAACTCATTGTATTTATAGGTGAAAAATATGAGAATTATAAATTTGTACAATTTTTCAAAAAGAAAGTGTATTTATTTATTTAAGGTATTGCCCTAATCAATTCATTATATTGATATTCCTAATCAATTCATTATATTAATATTCCTAATTAATCTTATTCCTAATTAATTCATAATATTGATATTACTAAATTTCCATTTTTCATTTGCTTACCAAATAAGCTTTATTAAGTATTTGACCAATAAAATATAAAATATATTTAATTAATTTGACTACAAAGTTTGAGCGGGAAAATGAAATAGGAGGATTTTACTTTTATATATATATATATATATATATATATATATATATATATATATATATATATATATAGATATATAGATATATATATAGATATAGATATAGATATATAGATATAGATTATTCCATAATATGTTTTTTGTTTTTTTTCTTTGCGCACAACAACATTTTATCACCTTATTATTAAAACAAAATAGGATATTAATTTTAAAGATTGTGATTTTGGTAGGGCCTCATTTATTTATCAAAGGGGGCCACAAAAAAAAAAAAAAAAAAAAAAACCGCACTCATCGTCTGTGCTCACTTTTCTTGCCGGAAAATTTTCAGTGATCTACGCATATACTCATACAAGTTATGTTATGTATATAGGATTATAGGTATTATGCTGCATATCTTCTATGGAGTAGCTCGTTCCTCATTGCTAAGATTGGTAAGGGTAGGGTTCTGACTGCTGAACCATTTATCATATTTCTATTCTCTCACGTTTACTTCCACTTTGCGTCAATTGAAATTTTCTTTTTAATCTTCATAGTTCTTTGCTTTCTTGATTTCTAAATGTACACATTTCTGATAATTGATTTCAAAGTTCAGGGGGTTTTTAATGACCTTTTTTTTTTTCACAGAAAGGGGGGAAGAATGGCTAATTCGGATGGCTGGGTTTTGAGTTTTGAATTGAGCTTTGCATTGTTCGATTGTTAAAAGGAGGAGTGTAGAAAAAATTATTGTATATTTTTATAATTTCTGGGCTTTACTTTTGTTGCTAATACAATCATTACAATGTTAGAAAGTTAAATACGGGCTCTACTGAAGAAAACTGTATGTTGTCCCATTTTAAAATCTTTTAGCTTATTTGTTTTGATTGTTGAAATTGGATTTTAAGAAAGTTTGCAGAGATTGTGGGATGTTGATTGTTGAGCTTTTGTGTGAGAATAGAAAAGAATTAAAATTAGAAATGAAGTGGAAAATATTGCAATTTGTATATTTCTGCAGCTTGAATGCAAAACTATACTGTGAAATTTTATAGTTGCATAAAGAACCAATCTACCAGTTCTACTTGGATCATCTGGTACAGTCAAATCCCTCCTGCATCCACATACCTGATACATGCAGACAATCTATAACTAAGTGCTTGGCGGTCTCCATAACTCGCCCACACATTACACATATGACATAGAATTGAACAATGAACATGCTTGGACTGTAACGCATCCCTCGGCGACAGTACAGAGGTAGCTAGTTGCCAACAACAAATATTATATTTAACAAAATAATAATAAAAACACATATTTGCTACAATAAATAATAAAAAGATAAAATAATAAAAATAGGGAGCTTACCCGCCAGCGACGAGGGAGAGGGAGAGGAGAGGAGATGGTCGAATAGTGATGAGGGATGAGGGTGGCGATGGCACAACGACAACAATGGAGAAAACATGAATGACAACAGCAGTGGAGGTGTTTTTTAGAGGAGAGGTGAGGAGAGGAGATGGCGGATAAGGGTGGCGGTTAGTAAAAACAAATTAAACAAATTTTAATTTACATACGTTATGAGGTTGGAAACTGCCCGCCAAGCTTGGAATCCTGGTCAGAGGGTGTGCACACTAAAAGTTCGATACCTGATTCCACTGAGTTAGAGTATAGAACCAAGAGAGTGGTTCGGTGGACAAACAGAGTATTAGGTCGGCTAGATGCCGTGCCCAGATAGGTTCATTCACACTATGATGAAGTTCTTACCTCGTTCATTCAAAGAGAAAGTATGAGTCATTGAGACTCCAAAGAGAAAGAATGAGTTATTGCGACTCCAAACCTAAATCTTCATGTAATAAACACTAAACTATTGATAGTATTGATACATCAAATCTTTCTCCATTTACTCTGTATTATCTTCTATATATTAGTAAAAACAAATTTAAATTTACATATACATTATATTAAAGTAATGATTTTATGTAACTATAGATTTAATTAAAAAAAAATAAAAATCAATGCGAACATCATTTAAAAATCTCAATTAGAATTTTTTAATGATATATTTTTATATATTAATTTTATTTATAAAAAAAAAAAAACAAAAAAAAAAAAAAACAAAAATTTAATTTGAGAAACAAAAACAAGGAAAAAAAAAAATAAACAGATGATCCGTAGACAACTCATACAAGTGTTTACATCTCTTTTCACCCTAAAATTCTCTTCCTCCTTTGCTTGCATCATAAGGAGAGTGAAAGAAGAGTGGTAGAAGGGTGTGGAGTCGACACAAGTGTGCAATAACGTCGCAAACAATATCAGGTTATTTCTTCAATTCATTTCTTTAATCCCAAAACCTTCACTCATTAATTTTTATGAACTATTGGTTGGATCAGAAATTACTTTTGTTTCAATTTATGTGAGGTTCAGATTAATTTGCTCCAGTTTTCTCTGTTTTTGCTTTGTTATTGATTAGCAATCCCACCATGTGTTTGATAGAAGTCTTATGTGGAATTTGTAATCTATATAATTGAAAAAGTCTATTGATTGGAGAAGGTGAGCAGGTTGATTGTACACTAAAAAAAATTGAGTAGATCAGATCAGACAACTAAAAAAATTGAAATTTAACCTCAACAACATGACAGAGTTCCCTTCCATTCCCCTCAACTTGATCCTAGCTTGTCCTCAATGATACAGAAGTCCCATATAGCCTCCATTTTCCCCTATTCAAGTGCCATTAGAGAAAACCCAGCAATTTGCAGCCACAAAAGAAACATGTTATAGTACACCATTCATTCCTGTAAGTCAGTAACAATAATTCATTTTCTCCAGTGGTACACCTTTTTGGTGTTTCCTCATCAGCAAAACAAGAAGTGACAGACAAGCTAAGAAGCTATGGATGGTCACAATATAATATTTATTAATAACTCAATTCTGAGGTGCACCACCACCTTCATCCACTCTAACCTTCTTCCTCCTCCCACCTCTTCTAGGCCGGGGGTCGTTGCCCGGCTCTCTGCGCCGCTCACGGCGAGCATCATGCCTTGGCGGAGCACCACCACCATTATCATCATCATCCTGTGGCCGGATGTCATCATTGGGTTGAATTTCAACTCTCCTATCTTCCCCTATGAGGGTCAAAGCTTTAACACACGCTTCCTCAATGGCAGCATAGCCTTCACCTGCATTTCCAGCTTTCTCCAAACCCTCTCTGGCCATCCCACTTATCTTATGCGTAACCCTCACCTGCATGCATATATTGATCAAACAAATTAAATTTTTCTTGGACTAATAATATATCTTCAGAATCAATATATTGAATTCTGATTTGCCAAATTTATTATTATTATTATGTTAGTATTAACTTACCAAGTGTTCTAGCTTTGACGCTAAAGGCATGAATCCTCTTTCAGGACGGTGGACTGGGTTGGTAATGACACGACGTGCAATCAAGCTATACCATCTCTCGTATTCTTCTAACCACGTTTGGTCATTATCATCATCAGCCACCGCATTCACGACATTTTCTTCGCGGCTTTCCCATTCAAACAAGTATTTCATGTGCCTAGTGCTCCAGTCTGTGCCCCTTTTCCCTCTCCCATCAATCTTGTGCAAGTCTACTCCGGTGTCAAAGTTGGCCGGGGGCGGCTGCTTGAACTTCCCAAACTGGCGGAGAACTCTGTCTGGTAAGTGCCACTCTACAATCTCATACATGATCAGAGGAGACTTCGTCATCCAGACGTGCTTCCCTGCTTTGCAATAATCTGGTAACTCATCCAACTCGTTTTCATATGGTCTCCATTTAAACTGCACTCAAAAATGCAATTGAATTATTAATACATTAAGTGGTTTGCATGTTTCAGTACTGTGTGTATTAGAATATAAGTATCTTGGTACATACATGACTGTCCTCTTTCATATTGTCAATTTGATCCCTGTAAACTTTTAATACATGACTGGCTACATCGCCAAATTCTTTAGAAGTACACCACCTAAAAATAGCATAGTAAGTAGTGGTTAGTGTAGTGACTAATAATTTTACCTGTCAGAAAGTAGAAACTAAGAAACATGGTCTTGGATTAGTATAATTTTGAAATAAATTAGTATAATTGTTTTATTTTTTAAAAAATTTTATGTTCCTGCCTTTTTGATGAGCGGTACCTATTGGACCATTTTTTTTTAACACATGGTCTTAGATTAGTATAGTTTTGAAATAAATTAGTATACATATATACCTGGCAGCTCTAGGTCGATCTATTAGGTCCTGAGGGAGGGAGTGTATGTTCGGAGAGAATAAGGTGATACGCTCCCAAACCCACAATTGAAGAAGAATGAGTGCACCGCTAATTTGATTAGCATTACCCATGGCTGCCCTGCACATGCTTCGATACAAAAAAGCAAGAACAGCACTTCCCCAACTGTAGTTGTTGGCACTACGCAAATCTCTGATGTGGTCTAAGAAACATAGTCTCACCATGTTGTTTGACTTGTCAGGAAATAACGTTCCACCTAGTAATTGCATGATATGTAGTCGGGCCATGCGTTGCACGTCTTCATCAGTTGAATGCTCTGTTAGTGGTGTCGGGTTCTTTAGACATGTCATTACCAAACGAGAGCTCCCGGAAATTGAGTTACTGTTAGGCCTAATGCCGAGGAGGTCATGACATATGTCAGACCATTCATCTTTTGTTCTCATTTGGACAGTTGTCACTGGCATGCCATCAATGCGCAGTCCTAAAAGAATCTCCACATCTTGCAATGTGATGGTGACTTCCCCAAATGGAAGTTGGAAACAATGAGTTTCTGGGCGCCATCTCTCCACCATTGCAGTGATCAAAGACCAATCCAAATGTATCCTTTCCAATCTCGACAACCCATCAAAACCTGCCAATTGAATGTATGTCATAACCCTATCATCAAATTCGTTTTTTGCGCTCCAAAATGAACTATCATATCTGCAACACTTTAAGGATTTATTTATTCGACGAGATCCTTCCCAAACTCGAGTAGATCTATGAAGCTGTTGTCGGTTAAGAACAGAATTGCAAATGGGACCTGGTTCAAGTTGTGCCATGTTCTACAAAGCCAAACAAAAAAAAAATGTTGAAACATAAACATTGTTATACCTCTACAATACACATGGAAACTAGAAATTTTTGGTAATTCTATGTGTCCTTAATACAACAGGACTAGTTGTTTATATGGGTAAAACATCTGTGGGAAGACAATGGAAGAGAAAATATAAGAAAAGGAACATAGAGATAGGATGGGAACTAGTGAAAAATAATTTATCAATCTTATTTTATTTATTCAGTTCAAATTCGAGTTATATGTTTACAATTCAATTTTTATGTATTAAATTTATTGTTAATGAAAATTTTTGTATATTTAGATGTTATATCTGTATTATTAACAATAAAAACAAAATTTTGAATTTAAAAATTATCAAAACAATATTTAACAAAATAAGTGGATAACTTCTTTTATCCTTATGTTATTCTCATATTATTTATCATTCATTTTCCCTGACTTTCTTCTCAATTTTTGAAGGAAAGAATCTTCAATAAAACATAGGATTGGGTTGTTTTATCCAAATTCCTAAGCGCATTTTCTCCTCAAAATATCTTCATACACTTTCTTTTTTCTATTCTCATCCAAATAAAATAAGCAAATTAAAGTTCTCAAAGACTTCTATAATGTTTTTTTTCCCTTTTTATTATAATATCTTCATCTTCTACCCAGCCCAAGCACATTGACAATGCCCATTGTACCACTAGTTGAACAACACCCAAACAAAATTCAACCATAAATAACATGCATATTTTCATCACAAGCATTTTTATTAATATAAGATCATATATATAGTTATTCATTCAAAGAAGTATAATATATAGCTGATTAGATTAAATTGCTTTCTGTTATTGTAACAAATTAAAGGATAATAGACTTTCTAAAATGGTACAAATCACTTATATATCTAGCATTTGCACTCTTCACCTATGTAAGACAAAGTAATGTGAGTGAAATAGAGTAGAATTACCTTAATGGAATGTATTGATAATTAGAAATTCGGTCTTCTTCCCTGGAGTGAATGAGTTCACCTGCTGAAATAATAGAAATCACTTGTAGATTTATAGTTTGTTATCGATCTATACCTGTATAAGACAAGTAGTGAAAAGTTAAATAGAATATAATTATCTAAAAACAATGTGAGCAGTGATGATAAATCGAAATTTCATAATTAAAAAAAATGGGTTCACTTGCTTGAAATTGTAAAATTCCTTAAAGATTAGAGTATAATTACCTAGAAGGAAGGGTAAACAATGACAGAAAAAGTTAGTCTTCGTTGGTGGAAACAAGTTCAATTGCTTGAAATGCTAGAAATCGCGTTATGGAGAAGATGATAGGTGTTGGATGGAACGAAGAAAAGTGGGTATTAAAAGCGGGTTAGGGTTGCGAGGGCAACACCCGATACAGTACGTGGGTAATTTTGTACATGTACAATTTTAGGGTTGCATACAAATATTTTGCTTGTAACCCTAGAGGTATGGTTAGAGCTTGGCGGAGTGGGTAGCAGAGCGTTGTAGTAAAAAATCCTTACTGATTTTGTGTTTTCTCTTTACATCCGTACAAGAATGCAAACGAAATAGCTATAGTTAAATTACCTTAAAAGAAGATGAACAATGAAGAGAAATTCAATCGCCCTCGGAGGAAACCAATTCACTTGCCAGAAATGGTCAAAATCATTTACAGATCTTTGGATTGCTTTCTATACATGTGCAACACTAAAAGTAACAAGTTAAACAGAGTAGAATCACATATAAGGAAGGTGAACAATGATGAGAAATTGAATCAAGATCTTAGCGAAAATTGAAGAAATAGGTGAGAAGAAATTGTGGTGAACAGTAATCAATTCCGATTGAAATCTTAGTAAAACTAGAAGAAGATTGGTGAAAAGCGATGAAACGGTGTGGATTTTAACATTTTGAGGTCCATTAAATGGATTGAGTCATATATAGTGGCAAATTTTATTGTGGACCATGGTCCAAAACGGTGCCGTTTCCTTTAATGAAAAGAAACAACACCCGTTCCGCGTAATTTCTTCTGATTTTCTAACATATTCAGTTTCATTTTATATACATTGCAGTTTCATCTCAACACAACTAGAGTTTAATTTTGCTTCAATTACAGTTTCATTTGGACATTATTATACATATAGTAGTCTTATTACAGTCAGACCTGTTATTGAATTTCATTTTATACACACCATAGTCTTATCACAACACCACTAAATTAGTATTCTAATTTAACTATGGCTTCATTGGACAATATGCACTCAAATATGTGAAACTGTTATTCATTTTCATTTTATATACACTGTAGTTTCATTACAACACAACTAAAGTATCATTTCGATATAACTACAATTTCATTTGATAATATACACTCAATATGTGAGACATGTTATTTAGTTTCTTTTTATACATACTGTAGTTTCATTTCAGCAAAGCTAAAGTATCATTTCAATTCAACTAAAGTTTTATTTGACAATATACACTCAATATGTGAGACATGTTATTCAGTTTCATTTTATACATACTGCATTTTATTTTAACACAACTAAAGTATCATTTTAATTTAATTACAGTTTCATTTGATAATATAAGCACAATATGCGACACAATTTCATTTTAGATACACTGTAGTTTCATTTTGTTCTGAACACACAAAAAATACGGGATTTGTTAAAATTTAACGGCTGCCGTTTCTTTACTTAAAGAAATGGCGCTGTTTTCGGACCATGGTCCACAGTATGACAACCGCATATACAATTGGACCAATTAATTTGTCAAAAATTGATGGTTTTGTTAATTGTATAATTTAAATGGTCAGAATATTTATGTTTGGGCCATGATTTTATTTTATATATTTATAACATATAAAAGAACTTAACTTGTTTATGCTATCAATTTTAAGGAGTCTTCTACCAACATATTTCAGACTTTTTAAAAAGTTGAAATTTATTTATACTAGTGAGTTAATACCTAAAATGATTCTCGACTATAATGGTTTTTCTCAACTTCGTGCTAAACGACTTTGGTGACCTAATGTAGTCCCAAACTTTTATGTTTTTGCTCAATTTAGTTCCAGGCTTTTGTGTTTTTTCTCAATTTAGTCATCTGTTTGGTGTTCCGTGCATTTGGTGTTAAATAGATAGACAATTCAGTAATTTCAATATTGACATCTCTTTACTCCTAGACCGGCGAAGTGCGAAATCCCTCTTTTTTTACGAATTACTCCCAAACCTACGAATATAAACCCCTTTATTTAACACCAATTTGACAGCATAACAAACGGAGGACTAAATTGGGTGAAAACACAAAAGTCGTTTTGGACGAAATTGAGAAAAACCACTATAGTCGAGAACCATTTTGGGTATTAACTCTTATAGTAGTTCAACCCCACATACTTTTTTAATGTATAACAAAGACTCTTTAAAAGCCTTTCAAAACTCCATTTTACTAATTTAATGGACATACTTTGAGAATCAATTTCTCATTTACCTATTATCTATTTTGAGTGTATACTTATACAAAATTCATCATCTCAACTAAGAGAATCCAAATCTACTCTGACCCAACCTAAATTAGAAGTGGACTCCACTCAAATATTGCCTCAAAATGACCACTTTGAACGTTATTTTTAGCAAAATTTTCCAACAATGATTTCTTATTTGTTCAAATGAAAAAATATGCATGTATAATTTATATTTTTTATAATAATCATTATCGTTACATACGAACTTTGGTTTCACATATTTATCTATTCCTACTTTAACTTGCTTGGGATTGTCCATACATTGGTTTGAATTTCTTTTGCAGTTATCTATACGGTGGAATTTCAAAAGCATGGATGGCCTCATGCTCATATATTGTTGTTCCTTGAGAAAAGTGACAGGGTACTATTATAGAAGAGATTGATCGAATAATATTTGCTGAAATTCCGGACAAAATTTTAGATCCTTCATATTATAATGTTTTTGAGGAGTTTATGATACATGGCCCATGTGGTGAAGCAAGAAAGAAATCCCCATGTATGACGAATGGTCATTGTATAAAGTATTTTTCAAAGAAGTTTGTTGATGTGTCATGCTTTGATGAAGATGGTTATCGTGTGTATAGGTGTTGAGAAGATAGTCGAATTGTGAGCAAATGTGACATTGACCTCGATAATAGATACGTGGTTCAATTCCTCACAATCGTTATTTGTTGTTGAAGTATAGAGCTCACATTAATATAGAGTGGTGTAATCAATCACAATCAATAGAGTTCCAGTTGTGTTTTACAAGAGCACAATTGATGAGGAAACTGGTAAAAACATTGATGAGATCAACATTTACTATGATTAGCAATACATATCTCATTGTGAGGCTTCAATTCATGGCGTCATTTTTGATTTTGAAATACAGTATTGAATGCTAGTTGTTGAAAGCTTGAGCTTTCATCTACCGGACCAACAATAATCTATTACTACGTATTTTTTATGATGATGAAGGCCGAATTGATGTTGTTTTAAACAGAACCACTGTTGGTTATAGTAATAATATTATGTTCCTTGGTTTGAAATAAAAAGTATCCAAAGGCGAGAGTGTTAACGTATGTGGAGATGCCGAATAAATTTGTGTGAAAAAAAATTACACGAACGGCATCCTAGACAAAGAGGATATTGAGTGAATATTTTATGTACCTCTAGGGAGTGGTGAGATATATATATTATTTTAGATGTCTTTTGAATATATATAGTTCATGGTGCAACATGTTATGAAGATATTAAAATTGTAAACGGTGTCTAGTATGATTCCTATTGAGATGCCTATGACGATGATAGAGAATATATTGATGTGACCAATGAGTCAAGCGATGATAGAGAATATATTGATGCAATCAATGAGTCAAGTGACTAGGCATCTTCTAATTCATTTAGGAAATTGTTTGTGACACTACTGACTTCAAATTCTCTAGAGAGGCCAGAAGTGGTTTGGGACGCTGTGTGGCATCATCTGTCACACGATGCGCA